AGACAGCAGCTTTAGAGGGGCCCTAGCAGGAGGCACACCTAGATACCATCCCAAGTGTACATAGGTCTCAACCAGAAGCTCACGCAGACAACAGGTCAGCTCAGAGATCCAGAAGGCCACCTTTCTGAACCCAGGAATTGGTGCCCTGGTGAGCAGCAGAGAAAAGGCCGATCAGTGGCTTGCTGAGAATTGAAGACCACTAGGTGAACAAAAAGTTGCCTCAACAAAGGCAGAGCAGGCTGCATTTGTTGAAATGAGAAGACATGTAAAGAAGTCTCAAAACTAGACTTTCAAATCACCTAAGGCAACCCCAAAGGCAAACAAGATGGAACAATCTGATACTCAATTACCTGGATTCCCTGAACTGGCAATGAAAGAGGATCTGGAAAAAATGAAATTGGAAATAATTTCTCAGATAACAACAGAGATTGTGCCCATAGTCCAAGACATGATAGATAAATCTAGAGCAGACATAGAAAAAAAAAAAAAAAAAAAAAGAGGAGCTGAGGAACATGATGGAATTCCAACATAGGAAACAAATGGAATCCATAAAACAGATGCAAAAAGATTTCCAGGAGATTAAGAAAGCCATTGAAAGTTTACACAGCAGAATGAGGCAATGTGAGGACAGAATTTCAGATAGAGAAGACAGGATTGCAATTAGTGACCAGGAAAAGAAAAATTTCTTAAAAATAGTAAGGGACCACAAGAAATCAATCCAGCAGCTGCTAAACAATGCAAAGAAGAATAACAGAAGACTAATCAGAGTCAATGAAGGAATAGGAGAGCATGCATATGACATAAAAAACTGTTCACAGGTCGGACATGGTGGTGCATGCCTTAATCCTAGCACTTGGGAGGCTGAGGTAGGAGGCTCGCTGTGAGTTCAAGACCAGCCTGGGCTACATAGTGAGTTCCAGGTCAGTCTCAACTACATAGTGAAACCCTGCCTCAAAAAACAAACAAACAAACAAAAACCTGTTCACAGAAATAATGGCAGAAAACTTCCCAAATAGGGGAAAAGAACTTCACACACAGATAAGTGAGGCATATAGGACTCCAACTAGCCACGATTAAAAAAAAAAAAAAATCTACACATAGTCAATAATAGTTAAGATTCCAGAAACCCAACAGAAGAACAAAATTATTCAAGCAGTTAGAGAAAAGAATCAAATCACATACAAAGGAAAGCCCATCAGTATCATAGCCGACTTCTCAACACAAATGCTCAAGGAAAGAAGAGCTTGGAGTGACATATTTCAAGCCCTAAAGGAAAACAACCTCCAACCCAGATTGATGCACCCCAAAACTACCTTTCAAGATTGCTGGAGAAATAAGAGATTTTCCTGACAAAGAGCTTCGTGAATACCAAACCAGAACTTCAGAAAATTTTAACAATATCCTAGGAAAAGACAATGAGGATCACAACCCCAGGAAGGCCAGCAGAATGAATCCATCAGCCATGACAAGAAATTAAACTCAGAGAGAGAGAATCCAACAAAAAGAAAAAGTCATGACAAGGCTAGCTCAATACATATCAGTTATAACCATTAATGTTAATGGTCTCAATTCACCAATCAAAAGAAATAGACTGACAGAATGGCTCAAGAAACAAGATCCAACAATACGCTGCATATAAGAAACAAAATTCAAAAAGAAACTCATAGATTGAAAGGGTGGAAAACTGTACTCCATGCAACAGGAACCTGAAAAACAGCAGGAGTAGATATCCTACTTGCAGATGAAATGGATTTCAAACAAATGCTGATTAAGAGAGAAAGAAGGGTACTATGTTCTTGTAAAGGGAACAATCCAAGAGGAAGAGATGACAATCATAATTATATATGCACCAAACACTAGTGCACCCAACTATATAAAACAAATACTCATGGACATGAAAAATCAAATAAGAACTGTCACAGATAGATCAACTAGACAAAAAATAATAAAATACTAGAACTCAATCAAATTCTTGAACAAATGAACTTAACAGATGTTTTTACTGCTGGCAGGAGTGCAGACTGGTACAACCACTGTGGAAATCAGAATGGAGATGCCTCAAAGAATTAGGACCGGAAGCCCCATTTGACCCACCTATTCCCCTGCTATTCCCAAAAGAATCATACCACAGCGATATATGTGCACCCACGTTCACAGCAGCACAGTTTGCAATAGCTAAAACTTGGAAGCAGCCCAATTTTCCCATCAATTGGAGACTGGATAAAGAAATTGTGTTTTTAAAAAATAAAATGGAGTACTACTCATCCATAAGGAATGAGAAGCTAGAGACATTTGTAGCTAAATGGATGCACACTGAGGTGACACTCAAGTGAAATAAATAGGACACACATGTAAATACCAAATAGTTTCTCTGGTGTGAGAAACTGAAAGTGTAAATAAGGACTAAAAAATACAATAGATAATGTGAAATAGAAAGAAAAGGGGCAAAGGGGAAGGGGAAGTGGATGGGTAGGGGGAGGAAAAAATGGAATGGAATTAATATGGGAAAGTGAAAAAAATGGAAACAAAGTCTTTGTAAGTAGGGAGGGGTGGAGGGGCTGAAGGGAGGGCAGGGGAATGGGGAAAAATAAGAATCAAGATGGGTTATGTCAAGGTACAAATTTCCAATGATGAATGTCATTATATTGTATACCTAAAATATAAAATAAAATTAAAAACCAGAAAGAACAGACTAGAGTCCCACAGCATAGGAGCCATAGGACTCTCAGAAATAAGAGAAATGGGTATGATAGATTTCTGAAGAATTGGAGTGTTTAGAAATAACATGGAGAAGCATTTGACTTATCTGTCAGAACATTTAAAGAAAAGCGATGATGGGGGCTGCACTGTGCCTGCCTCACAAGTGCAAGATCCTGTGTTTGATCCTTGGAACTGGTGTTTTGTTTTGTTGGTTTATTTTTTTGGTACCGGGGATCAAACTCGGGTCCTTGTGTTTGCGAGGCAGGTGCTGGAACCACTGAACTAAATCCCCCACCCCTGATCCTTGATATAAAAAAAGAAAGAAAAGAAGAAAAATGATAATGGAAAACCAAGCAAATAAAAAATTAAAAAATTAAGACAATTATTAATTCCAGGCAATAGAAAAGTTGGGCAAAAAATGAAGTGTGAGCATACTGTAACATAATAAGCTTATTAGAATTAAGCAATGCTTGCTTAGTCACAGTAATATGAATATTAACTCTAGATTTAACTAAAAAACTGTGGTATGATTACATTGAGACATTATATGAAATATCAAAGTGGCATAAAAGAGTTAAATCCTCACTACCATATAGGAAGTCAAAAGATAATGTCTGAAACTCACATATCAAAAAGTAGAAATACACACACACACACACATATATATATTATTATATGTGCTGCTGAAGTGAGCACAACATATATATATTATTTAGTAATGAGAAGGTTAACAGAAAAGGCAACTTTCTGGTTGAGTCCCAATGTTTGATCTGGGTAAAGACCTGGGGGTGTTGAAGGGTAAAGGGGATGAAAGAGTAGGAATTACTCTTCTTGATAACATTACTTTTAATATTACTTGACTTATTAAACTGTATATTTATTACTTTGATAAAAATAAATTTTAAATTTTTAACATTGCTCCTACCATTAAAATCTTCCCACTAACTTAGAGATAAAGACCAGGTTTATGGGTGAAGACAAGGCATTTGTGTTTAGATATCTCCTTCTATGTCCTTCATCTCTTCCTCTTTGCACGCACTTGTCTGTACAGATCTTGAGAAGGCATAATGTAGAGACAAATACACGGGCTTCAAATGTAGGCAGACCTAGGAATGACATCCAGCTATGAAAAGAATACACTTGAGACTTCTTTTTGATCTCATTAGGTCTTCAATCACAAAATGCAAAATGCTGGTAGCTAGTATACTACTACATGAAGTAACAGATATGTCACCTTTATGTTCTTATAGCAAACACCTAAGATAAGCAACTTGTAAAGATAGAAGTTTTGGGCTGGGCATTTAGTTCAGTGGTGCTGCTGCCTCCCTCATAAGCACAAGGTCCTGAGTTAGATCCCTGGTACCAAAAAAAAAAAAAAAAAAAAAAAAAAAAAGATGGTAGTTTCATTTAAACTCATAGTTTCTAAGGTTCCAGTCCATCATTGGTTGGCCCCATTGCTTTGTGCCTGTGGATAGGTCTCACATTATAGCTAGAGCACATGTTGGAGAAAAATACACTTATATCATGAGCAAAGAAGCAAAAGAGAGCAAAGCAGTTGCCAGGCCCCTTAGTCCGCTCCAAGAGCAAGTCTCCAGTGACCTAAAGACCTTCCATTAGGCCACACCTTCCAAAGTTCCACCACTTTCTAATGGCACCACACTGAGGTACAAGCCTTTACCACAGGGGCCTAAAAGTCATTCTAGATGGAAACTATAGCAAGATGTAAAACATCTAGGATCCAGTGGGTCCCCCATAATTGTGATTCTCTTTTTCTCTTGAGATCTCTTATATCCTATAAGCCAATCCCTGAAAGTCTCTCTCTGAATTTCCATGCTTATAGGTTTGAACACAGCAATGAAAAGTTATGCTCCTTCAGTTACCTTCTCCCCATCCTGTTTTGCCTGGTTTGAAAGATTCACCTTCTACAGACAAATGACACAGAGTCCTTTCCGGGCAGTTTTCTCAACACATTTCCACTTCTCTTGAAAGGAGAAATTGGTCTCATTAACCTCAGCCTTGCACCTCAGCTGATTTTTGAATGAAAGAAATTGATATTCAATTACTAGCTCTGGCTCCTAGCCCTGACATACAGGAATGGATGGAAATTTCTATTTAAAAATTTGCTACAGTATCTATAATATAGTCAAATTCTAAACAATTCAGCAAGTATACAAATACAACATTTTAGAATAAATATCAAAGTCACCAAGGGTTATGAAACCTGGCTGAGATAACTGGGTAGGTGAGGTCACCAGTGATCACTCTCATAGGAGACCCCAGCATTACTCTGAAGCACTCACCTTCTCCATTCACCCTAAGCTGGCTGCGCAGCTCAGGGACAAGTGGTTCTCCACGTGCGCCCTCAGGCCAAGTCTCCTCACTCCTGGAAATCCACTTGTCCTGGTAGGACTCCTCCCCCTCCCAGGAGGCCGTGGGCAACATGTCAGACTCCTCAGTAGGAAAGGAATTAAGGGAGTTGAGGTCCAAGAGGAAGCTATCTTGTAGGGTTTGCTTGATGGCCTTGTATTTTCTCTTCTGATTCTCTGAGATCCTACTGCTTTCTCCTGGTCTTGGGTGGCCACTGTCATGCTTCCTGCTTAGCTGGAGAAGCTGATCCATGTCCTTGGTGAATTCCAGCAGGGTACCCTCAGAGGGGCTTTGGGCAGGGCCCTCGGAGCCATAGCTGGGAGCCTTCTCCAAGAGCAGATGCTCTGAGCAGTGGAGAGTTTCTGGGTCCTCCCTCAGCACTGGTTCAGGCCCTTCAGGGACGGTGCAGAGAACCATGGACAGGGAGAAGTAGGAGTAGTCCACCGAGACATAGGTCAGCATGAAGTTGATGGTGACAATGGGTGCCAGGATGTTCACTTGACCCACAAGGACAAAAGCCATGGTCACCAAGCTGGTCAGGCAGATGGCTGCTACTGGTGTTTTATTTGGCCCTTTCTGTAGAAACAGAAACAGCATACAGGACTACGAAATTTCAGGTGGGAAATTTCAAAATTTCTATGGTAGAAACCAAACTCACAATGGCTTAGACACTTTTTCCCCGTCTGTAAACTTGGGATAATAATATTCAACCCATGGGGCCATGGTGAGACCACAGCTAATGCATGTGAAATGCTGACAGAGCACTGACATGCAGTGGAATCCTGACACACGGCCGGGGTTATATCAGTAACTGTTAACATGGGGCATTGCCAAAGAACTTTCGACTTCCCTGATATTTTCTCATTTTGTCTTTGTTAGGTTTTAAGATCACCCTTGGAAACCAGAGAGGTAAAGTTGACTTTGCCCATGGCGTGGCAGATTGTGGAAGACACAGCAGCATCACCGGGGGCTGGAGCTGGAAATTTCTGATAGTGACCACGCACAGAGGTACTCATGTGTGCACACTTACGCTCGTCTGGTATTAATGGAGGAGGAGATGGTGACCTTCTGGTGGGAAGGAGCGGTAAAGTCATGCTAAAGCCATCCCTGGAAACTACTCACACAACCACTGAAACACTTCTTGAGCAGAAAGGAACATTCACTTCTCAGTCCTCCTCCTCAAAAGACTGTCTGCACTGGTTTCTGAATTGCCTCCTCCCCGCTGACTGCTCTTTCTCAGTCTCTGTCACTGCTTCCTTGGTATCTCTGAGGCTACCTTTAAAGCAGCTCAGGCTCCCTGCTCAGACCTTTCCTCTTCTCTATTTACACTCACCCCTAGACGATCTCACTCAGGCTCATTCCTTTCAGTACCAGCTCTGTGCCGACAATACCCAAGTCTGAGCCTCCAGCTGGAAACCCTCCCCTGAAATCCAGGCTTAAATATCCAACTGAGTTTCTCTTCACCAAAAGACACTAAAAAGGAAAGCAAGCCAAAGAACGGGAAAAAAAATATTTGTAACACATGTAACCAACAAAAAGCATCTTGGATATACAAAAAATTTCAACAAAAATTGGAAAAAGCCCCCTAAATAAAATGAATAAAAGATTTGAACAAATACTTCACAGAAGGATGCCCATCAAACTTGTAAAAAGGTGCCTAACCTCTTCAGTAGCCAGACAAGTACAAACTAAGACCTCAGTGAGACTAGTAGATACCCAACAGTCTGGCAAGAAATTAAAAGTCTGACAGTACCAGGTAATGGCAGAAATATAGAGGAATAGGAACAAGTACCCATGGCTAACAGGAGTGTAAGTCAGTATCACTACTCTGGAAGAGAGTGTTATCTGCTAATTAAGTGAACATGTAGGCAAATTAGCAGTTCCACTGGGGAAGAGAGATGCAGAAAGTCTGTATTTACAGCTGTGCCACCGCACTCTCCAGGATACTCCTAACTACTAAACAAGCTGCTGCTACAAGCAAGTGTGAAGGCGAAGTAATGACGAGTGAGAAGATCATGCCTCAAAAGAATATGTATGCGGATAAATATATATACATGTGATGTGTGCCTCCATTTACAGAGAGAGCACCCCTAATGCAAAAACCCTGCATCTACAGAGCTCCAAAGTTTCAAACTTTGGAGTGCTGAGATGATGCCACAGTGTGGAAAAACCCCACACAATGAAACTTTGTCTCATTCATAAAATTACAAAAAGAAAAACAAACAAACAACAAACCTTTGTCAGTTTACCTCCAGGCTACACTTATCTGGTGTACATGTGACACAAATGAATTCTGGGTTCAGACCTGGCTTCCCTTTCCAACATGTCACTATGTATATTTAAAAATATTTCAAAGTCCAATAAAAACCCAAATCCAAAAGACTTCTGATCCCAACCATTTAGACAAGAGATACTCGGTGTGTATTTAAAGATTAGAAACAGGCAACATTTTGTTTAGAGATGCATGAATAGGGAGTGAGGGAGGAACCGCACACTATGATCCCAGGGCCCCCAATCCAGCGCTGCCTTTTTATGTGTTCTGTGAGCTAGGAATGGCCTTATACTTTCAAATATTTGAGAAAAAAACCAGGAGAAGAATAATATTTTGTAGCATTGAGAATGACATGACATGCAAACTTGGGTCCATACAGAAAGTATTAGTTATTGTCTGGGGCTTTGTCTGAGCTGTAACAGCAGGGCTGAGTAATGGTGATGAAGACCACATGTGCTGCAATGCCTGAAAATGTACTATCTGACACTTTTCAGAGAAGCTGGCTGACCCCTGAAAAGAGCCATAAAGAAAGTAAGGATGCCGCAGTGATGGTGCATACTTACAGTCCCAGCATTCTGGGAAGCTGAGGCAGGAGGATTGAAAGTTTGAGCCCAACCTAGGCACCTTACTGATTTAGCGAGCCTGCCTCAAAATAAAAAAGAAAAAAGGTCAGAGAAGTACCTCGATGTGAAGGCCCTGCCTGGGTCCAATTCCCAGGAGTAAAAAAAAAAAAAAAAAAAAAAAAAAAAAAAAAAAAAAAAAAAAAAAAAAAGAAAAAAAAATGTGAAGAAATCATTATCACAGAAGTTGGCCATGGCAGAGAGGACTCTGAACAGGGAGTGCATGGAGAGGATGATGGGTAGGAGGCTAGTGGGGGCCTATATGTAGGCTTCAATGCTGTCAGCTTTGTAGTTACCCTTAACACTGCTTGTACTGGTTTGATGCCCTTTCCCACATGTTGACATATCTCAAGATTTCACATTTTTATTATCTTCCTTCATTAATAAAGGAAATGACCTTATGAAATATAACCATATGTAAAGCAGCTTTGGGGAGAAAATGTTTCAAAGCTAAAAGACATGACCAACTAGGAAAAATATTTGCAATACATACCACAGAGTTAATCTTCCTAATGAAGAAAGAGCTTCTAGCAATTGAAAAGAAAATGACCATTTGTATAGCCTTCACCAGAGGAAAAGATGATAGAGAAATGCAGATTTCGGAATCCTAAGGTGCCATTTATTACTCCACGACTGGTGAAAGTTCATATCTGACAAGGAACTGTGGACAGGCTCCTCCCTAACACTGGGTTTGCTGCCTAAGGTAAGAGTGAAAATGGGGTTCCATATGTCTCCACATACACAGTTATAAGCCACACTAACAACCTGTTAAAGAAAATACGTCCTACCATCCTTTGCTGGCAAATGTGCCTGCATGATGTTGAGGAAGTCCAGGTTCAAGTTTAGAATTCTTGCAACTCTCAGACTTCCTCACTGAAAGACGACCATGCCTACCCTCAGCTTAGAGCCCATCTTGTTCAATTACTAGGTCACATCATGGTGGCCTCACACTCATATCCAGATTCTCAGCCCATGCCGTGGTCCCAGAGAGGAAGTGGCCTTTACAGACCCTCTAAATAAGCACCATATGGGTCAGGGGCCCCAGAGAGCAGCACACTTGGTACATGGGACCCAGGTAGGTTCATCCCTGTGGCTTCACAACTTCTTACACCCAAAAGGCCACAGCAGAGTCCTATAAAGGAGGGACTTTTGTCTGAGCCTAAGAGTGGTACTGGCTATGGGAAAATAGCACTGCTGGTAGATGTACAAACAATGCACATCCTATGGAGGCAAGATCTATCAAAATTTAAAATGCATCTACCCTTTAACCTAGAAATCCTACTTCTGAAAATTTATGCAATTGATAAATCTGTCTTCACATATGCAAAATCACACACACACACACACACGTGATTATTCCTTGTAGCACTCATTACTGGAAGCCACTCAAGTATTAATCTCCAGGGAACTGAATAAATAAATTATGGTACATTCTCATGATAGAAAAAAGAACAAGAGGGGCTGGGGATTTAGCTCAGTGGTTCTGCTGCCTGCCTTGAAAGCTCAAGGACCCAAGTTCAATCCCCAGTACCAAAAAAAAAAAAAAAAAGCAAGAAAAAGGAACAAGTGCTCTCTGTACTCATATAAAAAATAGTTGTGAAGGCCATATGAAATTTAAAAAAAGGCATATAACAAGCGACAGCACTATCTTTTATGTAAAAATGAGAAAGAGAAGGATTCATTTAAAAATTAAGAAAAATAGTACTTAAGGACAGGTATGGGGAAAGAAGTAGAGAGACCCAAGATAGGACCTAAAATTTCCACTGTGCACCTTTTGCATAGTTTCTAGTTTTGAACCCTCTACTCATTCCACCTCATAAAAAGTAAACAGTGTGTTGTAACCCCAGCACTGTGGGAGGGTGAGGCAGAAAAATCACAAGTCCAAGCCTAGTCTGGGTGATTTAGCAAGAACGTGTCTAAAAACTTTTCAAATGTGTTAAAAGGGCTGGAGATGTGACTTTTCTTTTGTCACCCCCTAGGTTTTAGAAATGTCTCTCTTGGTCATCCTGGTTATGACTGAACCAAGCCACTCTGTCAGTTAAGGTGTGGTCCCAAAGTTATGGGAAAGCTCAGGACCCAGAGGTGTGGGAAATCATCAAACAGCAAGTCCAAGGGCATAGAGAGCCTTGGGGCACAGGTGGATCAGTGCTCCAAGGACCAGCTCTTCTCCTACCTGGGAAGTTCTTTCTCCTATGCTAAACTCACAGGATTCTGAATTTGGGGTTGTTTGTCATGTAGAACCAGAGACTGCATCCAGGGCCACATGCATGCTAGGCCAGTCCTCTGCACCAAGTTGTGCCCCCAGACCCTTAAATTTGTTTGTAAATTGAGAGGGCGCATAGTTTTGCTGCTGTTGAGGTCCTGAAATACTACTACATCTGGTTATCTATGTTGGAGCTGAGGAGCTGGGTGGCTGTGACATTTAAGATGCTCTGTCTGACTGGTCCCAGGAAGAGGACAGGACTGAAAGAAGTGAGCTGTGCAGTCTCATTTGTCCCATCCCAGAGCACTTGGTCAGAGGCTCACATCTGAAGAATTTAAGCACTTTATTGACCAGCAGTTGGAGTATCAAAAAAAATCTGTTGAGAGAGAGAGAGAGAGAGAGAGAGAGAGAAGAGGAGAGGAGAGGAGAGGAGAGGAGAGGAAAGGAAAGGAAGGAAGGAAGGAAGGAAGGAAGGAAAGAGAGAAAAAACAAAGGGTCACTCACCCCTTTCCCTAGAACAAAGGATCACTTACCCCTTTCCCCAGGCAGGCAAGTGCAGGAATCACCTTCTCCTGGGCGATGCACTGCAGAATCCGGGGAGCTCCATAGAGTCCACCCATGCAGGAGGCGAGGGAGGAGATATACAAGCCCAGGAGGAACAGGAAGCCCACTAGGGACACCTGTGGGAGAGAACAGCTTCATCAGTGCTGTGGTTTGGATCCTGAATTTCCCCTGATCCACGTGCTAAATGCTTGGTCCTCAGGGTGACAATATTGGGAGGAAGTAGGATATTTAAGTAGAGCCTAGTGGAGGTGGGAGGGGAGGTCTTTAGGTCACTTGGGATATGCCTCAAAAATATGTACCATTGATACAGAGTGTGGAGGATTTATCTCAATCTCTCTCTCTCTCTCTCTCTCTCTCTCTCTTCACCCCCCATGAGGTGAGTAGTTTTACTATGTGTTCTCCACCATTGCCATCTGGCACCCCTATTAGAGGTGCAAAGCAATCCCATGGATTGTAGACTGGAACCTTGAAAACCACAAGCCAAACAAACCTTTCCTGTTTATAAGTTCACTACCTCAGATAATTTGTTATAGTGACCAAAAACTAACTTGATCATTCAATCCCAGAGCCTGGGTCTGACTTTTACTACCCCCCAGCACTCACCCAGCCACACTCCACCTAAGTCCACATTACACTTTCTAGAGTCAACCTCAGCTAGATTTCCCACTCTTGGCCCCATAGCACTTCATTCCACTATTTCAGGTTAGCCCATTCTTTCGTATGGGCTACACAGTGGCTCTCAAATACAGCTGGCATCAGACTCGTGGACAGTCTCATTAAAACAAGTTTCCCCACCCTTAGACTTTTGGATTAATGGGCCTGAAAATATGGATTTCCAACAGGTGCCCAAGTGATACTGATGCTGATGGCCTGGGAGCCACGCTGTGAGAACCTTTGGCCATTAACAATTCCAGTTGGCCTCCTGCCTGTGAGCTCTCCCTGTCTGGACCACCCCTTTGGCCTCTGCCAGGATGACCCCTCTAGACTCAAATCTGATTGTAAAAATGGTTCCACTGGCCTGACAGGGTCTGAAACCTGCCTAGCCCCAGATTCTGCACACACAGTCATGGGCCCATATGATTTCTCTGCCTGCTGGAACTCTCTGTCCACATTCCTTTGACTACTTATTGTGTATTAAACAATAATTGGGTATTGAGACTCTGCACAAACCTTACTTCCTCCAGGAGGCCCTCCCAGTCCCCCCTCACAGCTGTGGTTGCTCTTTAGTGCTTCCTAGAACCTCAACATGATGTTGGGATAGTGCCTGTGTCACTCTCTCCTCTGCCCAGCCACAGGCTTTGTCTAGGCAAGTCTCTTGTCTTGTTCACTCTGTGTTCTCAGCGCCCAATACAGTTACATAAATTGCAAATAAATGAATGGATGGATGGATGGATGGATGGATGAGACCCATGACCAGATGTCCCACAGGCACCAAAAGATGCAGCAAGAGAGGGCACAGCTAGTGTCCTTGCTGTTCGCTATGTAGTGGTGTGCCAAGCTGAGTGATAAACCCCCCTCACAGCCCCAGCAGCCCTCACCCACACCCACAAGGAAGCTTCTGTTTTCTTGGTTACTTATGGTGTCCTCTCCATTATACCTTACTTGAGACACAGTGACCAGAACTGTGGGTTCCAAGTGTAATTTTTACTTTTGTCACTTACACACTCTTGATATTTTTGCTACTTTGCTCTAGCAATGTGCCAGATCCATGTCATCAAGTCACACCAGCCCCTGGCTATACCTATTTCCTGCCTCAGAAATTATCACTAGAATAATTTCATGAATTCTGCATCAGTCAGGATTCTTGACTGGAAAAAAAACCCACCTAAAGATATAT